ACTGAGCTGAAGATGTCGTCCAGAAAGACGACGAAAGCTCCACAACTAAACCAACCAGCTCAGAGAACACTATTAATTGGAAATCATCCACCTGAGTTACGAATCTTTTCTCTTACATCATTTATTTGTTAAGAAATTTTGAACATACTTTTCACAATGATTTCAAGTTATAGGTAGAAAGTGTTAGCAACATAATTTCTAAGATGATGTAAGTAGACAATTATTCAGTGTTAAGAGAGTAACTATTTATATAGTAACTAGACAAAGAGGTGGAATTCTGATTTCGCTTGGAAACAAGGATGGGCTAGAGGCAAAATATAAGATAGAACAACCGAGTGAATTTATACATATTGCCGTAGAGAGTTCAGGAGAGTGGAGGAGAACAGTTAAGTAAAATTATACAGTAAATAAGATAAGATAATTTGATTAAAACAATTACTGTTACGATGGTAATGAGTGATTAGTCCCAATCTCTTTCTGTATGCAAAGGTTGGGTTGAAGTCGTTTGACAGCGATGGCTTCTACCAACCGAAGTAACCATGGTTTTCTTTGTGTATGGATTATTTTGAAAGCCTGACTAATTTTCACTGTATATGCCATGTGAATTAGGTGTCTGGCGATTGCGATGTCTTGAAAACGCAAACTTTTAGGGATATGCATAACATCCTACTCAATCTTGATTTTGATTTTAACTCACTGAGTTGAACTCACTATTAAGGTTCCAAATCTACTTAATTAAATTATCTTATCTATTGTATAATTTTACTTCACTATTCTCCCCGACCCTACTGAATTCTCCACCATAATATGTATAAATGTACTCTGTTGTTCTATCTTATATTTTGTCTCTAGTCCATCCTTATTTCCAAGCGACATTCGGACTCTACCCTCTTGTCGAATTACTATATCAATAGTTGCTCTTTTAACATTAAATAATTGTCTACTAACATCATCTTAGAAATTATGTTGCTAACACTTTCTGTCTATATCTTGAAATCACTGTGAGCAGTATGTTCAGAAATTTCTTAACTTATAAGTGATTTATTTAGGATGCACACAGTTGAAGAGAATCCACAAAATAAAACGAGCTCATAGTATCCTGCAAATATGTTCATTCTTTCTTTATTCAAATTAATAAAAGGAATAGACTGTATGAAATATTCTGTTACAGTTGTTGAGTAAAATGCTTAAAGGAGATGATACTGTCATTGTAAGTTCATTTCTGCTATTTTGCATTTGTGAGCTAGGACGTAGGTTTTTATGAGAAAATTCATATAAAAGTTACAGTGGGATACAAAAGCGTAAGAAAAACATAACAACAACAATAACGACAGCAATGACGTTTATAAAAATCCAAATAATTAATTACATATGCAGTGCGTCGGCGGTTCAGTGGTAGAATACTCGTCAACGATGCATGTGGTCCGGGGCTCGGTCCTCGGCTACCGCACTCCTAAAACCCGCTTAACCAGCAGTAATCTCAGTAGAGAGGGGAGGCTAGGCATGAGGAAAGCAACCCTACCCCGTAAAAAACAAATAAAAGCACCAATTGCTACTGAAACTTTAAAGCTTTAAGCCCTGTGCTCCCCTCGGAATACAAAGGAATAGAATTATGAGAAAATCTTAATAAAAAAATTCCTTTTGAAGCCAAATTCTTGTTAAATGCATTTGTTTCTAGTTAACATTTTGGTTGGTAGCATTCATGGGTGACGATAAAGGGCATGTTGTTCGGGTCATTCAAATATTTTACAGAGTTATGATTCTTTTTAAACATCCTGTTTTTATTTGAATGACTTAGAAATACGTGTTAAACTGTCAGTTTTATTTATTCACAGAAATGTTTCATTAGATAAATTAGTAACATTGTGTTATTTTACTGTTTAGCTGATAAGATGAACGGATTACAGTCTTCAGTGTCTTTCAATCTCTGATAATTTATAACTCTTGTAAAAATCGTTATTAGTTTTCTATGAATCGTTTTCAACTTATTCTACTTTACTAATTTACAGGTACAAGTTTATCGTCACACAATGAATGACTAGTAATCTGAAGATTTCCTTCAGCTTTGTTTATTGGCAAATACTGATAGTAAGAAAAAATGTAAAATGAGCATTTATAGCGAGGGAATCGGCAACAGTATAACAAGGCTCTGGAAAACTAAATGTTTAATAGAGATCAAGTGAGTTTTAATTCACTATTGGCTGCATTGTTTCAACTGAAGGCTGTCGGAATGGGTCAAACTGTCAAAGCCGGTTAGGACTGAAAAAGCAAAACAGATTTTCATTAGTCTAAATTCACAGGAAAAAAATGGTCTCACTCAATATAAGAAACAAAAGTAGCATTTTAAACACTAATGCCAAGTCAGTCTATGCTTTTTTATAATTCATATACTTGACTCTTGCGTCACTGAAAGCCTTCCTAACAGACTTCAAACTTTATTCATTAACTGTCTTCATTGACTCAAAAGTGAATATCAGATGACCAAGCAGAAAGGATCAGCAACAAGGGATTCAATCAATGAAACAACTAAGAACCTATTTCCTGATAAATATAGTGAAGCAAATGGATATAAATTGGACACACACTGTGCGGGCCGTTGAGTAGCATCACGCTCAAAAGTTAAATCGGAATAGAAGATACCGAGTTGGGTATAGGTCCGAAAGTGACATGAAAAAGATTATGTGAAAAGAAAATGAGAGCTCGTGGGTAAGCGTGGAACCATCCCAAAAAGACAGCAAAGTACAAGAAGATATGTTGGTGTGCTCATGAAGCCATATGTTCTACTCGAAACCTAATGGAATAATAATAATCAAAATATTTTATCCAGTACTCAGTTATGATTAGAGATTTACGACTAGAGACTCTTTTTGCAGTAGCATTTAGACCATCAATTGTCAGGTTATTAGTCAGGAATTTCATTCCCGATTACTGCAATTCACTGATGTCAGTCCATCTATCAGTCGAATGAACCGTATCAGATATTCTCTTTTCCAGTTAGATGTCAGATAAAATACCATAGAATCAAAATTTGTTGGTCAGTAATACACCTTAGACATAAAAAAACTATATGCATAAATTAAATAGTTTAGTTCCACCTGTTGCTATATTTACGCAAGTTGGCTTACTTATCTGGCTAGCAATTTTCGACATTTATTTCCAGTAACTGACTTCATAGGTGATAAATATCATGGCATATAAAAATGTCGGATAGAAAACGTGATTTACACCTATCAAATAGTTATACAAATACATATGCATATATATATATATATATATATATATATACATATATACACCCAAGTATATGTATATATATTTCTGTCTGTAAAACGTCTAATCCACATGATGATGGGAATTAACTGATAGTACATACCCATGTTGAAGAAATTCTCAATGAAATAACCTAGTAGTGCATTTATCATAAATATTCTTTGTTTTTATTATGCATACTTTTTCTTATCATCAGAATAATCAGTCGTTTTTAGAAAAGGTTGTCTTGATAACCAGTGTTTCTACTTTTTGGTATGTAATGTGAACTCACAGTTAGGATCACACAAACCAACTTCTTTATATGACGGTAAACAACTATCCCAAAGGATGTTCCATGGTATATTTCTCAGAGAAGTTTTCATATAAGATGTTAGAGAAACATTTACAAAATTAGTGTAATGTCTTAATGAATGATGAATACAACCTTTAGTAGAATTATCTTCAACCTAGTCGAATCCTCTATTTGGTTGAAGGATTTCATCATGAGCTGAAAGCAGTTAGAGAACCATTGGGAAACCAACCGGGAATACAAGACAGATGTTTCGTCAGCCTAGTTTGTGACTCTTCACAGTACACACTCACCGAAGTTCGAACCTGGGACCCTCTGGTTACAAGGCGAGCCAGCTCGTAGACCATTAAGACCCTAGGATCCGACACAATAACTAATTCATGAATTCTAATTTCTGCCTCTATTTGCCAATCTAGTGCGAAATTCGCACGGTTCGAGATGATTATTTCACCACAGATTCCTTATGGAAACCGATATTATTCAGATCACAGCATGTGATCTGCTTGATACCCTGAATAGTAATCGCGAAACCAAGGGTAAATGTATAAGACTGTACACTACTGGTTGACTCAGATGAGTAGTTGTATATGAGTTTCACCAACCAGTAGGGCTTACTAACTACCCAGATTTAAGTGACCTGCATACTGGACGGTAGTTCAAGTCAAGCGATTTGAACTGACTTGACTCTATGAGGTGAGTTGAACCGAGCTCAGCGCCAAATGATCGGAAACCTTTTTCGGTGTTTAGATCATTTCAATCTGAATGACGAGCACTATTGACTGATGTGGTTGGTGTACACCTACTCATCTCAATCAGTCAGAAGTATACATTTTTATGCTTTCACCTAGTCATTAGTGAGAAATTATCAAGGAACACTTTAAACAGAAGCAGGTGACGTAGTCATATTCGTTATTCATCAGGCAGATCATGCAATGAATTGATATCCGTTAGGTAGACACCAGAATAGCATAAACCCCTGAGAGGGGTTTAATATTCAACTACCAGACTTTTTAGCAGGATAGATAAGTTTAAAAGTTCACTTATAATGAAACTCAGGCGAGTTAAACCCAGTGCTTTTTATTGTTTATCTGTTCCTTAATTGAATTTCTTGTTTTAACGGAAACTACCCTGAGAACAATCAAACAGTTACATGAATTAAACTCCCCTTCCACTGATTGTTCATTGACCAGTAGGACATTAGGTATGAACATAGAATTATAGAGAAAAGTTAATATGTTAAATTGTTGGAGGCAGTTGGTAGGATGCCTTTTACCTGCACCGAACAGAGGACTAGACAGAATACACTAGTTACTAACAAGTGTTCAATCAAAAGTTAATATGGTTTATAGTGTATTTCAAAGAAAAAACCCAACTCATTTGCATAAATAAATAATCGTATATATTTTTAAAAAGTGTAAAACAATTTTATTCTACTACTCACCTTCATCATTTTCTTGACTGAATAGGCTAATGAAATAGTTACAGCTAAAGGAAGACCTTCAGGCACAGCGACAACAAGCACAGTGACACCAATAATAACAAATCTTACAAATTGATGTAAATGTCTTCCTGTATCCCATTGTTCTTTTTCAAAGTAAAATGTATTCACAGAAAATTTTATAATCAGTATAATCACAGTTAAACTAGCCACAACAGTACCTATTAAAATGAGAAAAGTAAAATCAACGGAAAAGAAAAAAAACTGGTGAAAACAATGTTATTCCATCATAAAAAAAACAAAACAAAAACAAATGAAATCCATTTTCAGAAATTTGTTTAATAATTTATGTTAACTAAAGTTATAGTTCTGAATGGGAAATGGGAGCATTCTGTGAGCTGCTATTTTTCACCTACTCTCTCTCCCTCTCTCTCTCTAACTGTAAGCTTTTGGAGATTAATTTTTAACTGAAAAGTAATCGTGTAGATTTAGTCTTACTCAAATATGCTAAGTATTCCACTTGGAGGGGGATTGACACCTTAGATGTAAAAACTCCAATGCTAACCGAATATGAGGGAAATGATGTTATTGCTGGTGTATCAGTCACGATAGTTGCCTACATTAAGGGTGGCAGTTTTGTTAGATGAGTAGATGACGATTTATTTGTGTTTGTTCACTCGTCGCGTTCCATTGCGATTCAACTCGCGCAATGGCCTGATTTCAGCATGATGTCATTTGACGGCTTCTTCAGCTAGCGTATGACCGATCCATCTCCACTTTCTCCTACATATTTGTCAACCAACTGACTCCTCGTTAGTTTGTTCCCAGCCAGAGTTTCTGGGCAGCCGACTATTTGATCTTTGGTATCGAGCCAGCGAAGGCAGCTGTTTATAAAAGTCTGTGATTTGTCGGAAACGATTTTCGTGACGCGCAGTGCAAGTTTCTGACCCATGTAGAACATCTGATTGATTGACTGACTTGAAATTTGTGTTGAACTGAATCCAAATCTTCATTATGCTGGGTTAGTGTAGAAGATTTCCAAACTAGATTCAGGTTGATGAAGGCGTATCTCGCCTTTCCGATTCTGCCTGGATTTGGAACGATGCTTCCTAGATAAGTGAAGGAAATAATCTCTTCCGCTGATAGTGACTGGTGTTGTTGTTGCTGCTGTTCGTTGGTTATGTTCACCACCTTCATATTTTCAGTCAGTTTGTTGGTTGTCGCCTGAAACTCTTTGCGTTTGTGTAACATTAAACATAAATCATCCACGCACGAAATTCAGACCTTTTATTGTCCTCTTATCAATCTGACGTACTCCTGTCTTCTCACTCCCTATCCACAGTCTGACGCATAATCCAGTCCACTACAATGAGGAATATCATCGGTGATTATAGGGAGGCAATCCTGTCTTACTCCTGTATTCACTTCAAACGCTTCGCAGAGTTCTCCGTTGTGGATCACCTGACACAAAGGCTGTTTTACTACTCAAATCAATAATCAATTTAGGCGTAGCATCATAATCACAATTTTATGTACCTTGTTAAATGACAAATTACTGCTATTCACTATCATTTACCATAATTTCCTTACACTCATCTTCCCTACTCATCCTCAATATTTCTAAAAATTATAATGTTCATGACTAACTGATCTACTAAAAGTCTATAACTGTCAAATATTGACAGAGAGTATCTCCTCTACACTAGTAACTGCTGATATCCATCTGTCAGTTTGCAATGATGTCCACTAGCATTTTGTCTGTCACTTATGTTCATGTACAATTTGAAGAAAAAAAATTCAACTGAATAATAAGTTATTTCAGACTAAAAGAATCAGACAAACTATCACAATGTTTGCCAATGTTGACATATTTTTTTAAATAATTAAATACTAATTTGATATATATATTAAAGAACGAATGTCACATTCGAATAATGTAGGTTACAAGGACTTTGTTACATTGTATAGTATACTAAAAGCTGTAGATAGGGTGAGTAGTGTACCTTTAAGCCAACTGGTTAATATTGTTGTTATAGACACAGACATTTGAGCTTATGCAACAAAAAAAAGTCACCAGCCAAATGAAAATCATTTTATTGGATTCTAAGCATCCTATTTATTATTCACAACTTTCTCCATGCATCTCTATCTCATCAGGTGGACGTAAGTAAATACAGTTGTAAAAGACTTTAGACTCACACGACTAAATTTAAAAAACAACTATATTTTATTTTGTAGACATTTTTTGCAATATTGAGCATGAAACTGCTAAATTGCTTTTTTTCATTCTTCCTACTATTAACATATTGCTGTCACCATTACTGTTAATTTATAGTTTAATTTTATATTTCTATAGTTTGGTTTGTAAGGATTAGTTATGTTTTACGAGTTGATCACGGATTGATATCAATTAGAGAACCATTGAAAACCAGGGAGTACTGGACAGCTGCTGTTTCATCCTAGTTTGGGAATCATCGGCAGTACGCATCCACTGGGTTTCGAACCCAGGACCTTCCGGTTACTAGGCAAGCTCGTATACCATTCAGCCACTGGAACCCGATTCAATGGCTCGTGAATTCTAACTTCTACCAATTCGTGATTTAGCGCGACCCCAACCATTGTCGTTGGTGGGACATCCATCCACACACGTGACATCTAATTGGACCTCACTGGTCACGACTTCTCACTAGAACTCAGGAAACTCCAACCTGTAGCAAGTCACTAGCGAGCATCAGATTAACTTTCTATAGTTTGGTTTGTAAGGATTAGTTATGTTTTACGAGTTGATCACGGATTGATATCAGTTAGAGAACCATTGAAAACCAGGGAGTACTGGACAGCTGCTGTTTCATCCTAGTTTGGGAATCATCGGCAGTACGCACCCACTGGGTTTCGAACCCAGGACCTTCCGGTTACTAGGCAAGCTCGTATACCATTCAGCCACTGGAACCCGATTCAATGGCTCGTGAATTCTAACTTCTACCAATTCGTGATTTAGCGCGACCCCAACCATTATATTTATATATTATCGAAATAATTATTACAGTATACATTCTGTTAATTATTTTTTTTCCCTCACTATACGACAATGACACGTTTCAAGTGATCCACAGTGGGAAACTCAACGAAGCGTTTGAAGTGAATATAGGAGTAAGACAAGGTTGCCTGCCTATTATCATCGATGATATTCTCCATTGTAGTGGACTGGATTATGCGACACAACATGCGTGGGGAGAGAGAAGGCAGGAATACGTTGGATTACTGATAAGAAGACTCTAGAAGATTTGAATTTTGCGCGTGGATGATTTAAGTTTAATGCCACACCAAATCGAAGACTTACAGGAGGAAACCAACAAATTCTCAGAAGAAACTGGCAAGGAAGATAAGATTTTTAGTGAACATTAGAGAAGGAACAACAGCAATAACAAGCACCAATCACTATCAACCAAATAAATCTGAAAGAGGTCACTTCCTTCACTTATTTAGGAAGAATCATTTCAACTGTGGGCAATCAGCATTGACGAGGATGTCAAAACCAGAAATGTGAAAGCTAGACAGGCGTTCATCACTCTGAAATCAGTATGGAAATCTTCTGTACTCAACAAGCATAAGGAATAAAGTAGTGATTTTTCACACAAATGTGAAGTCAGTTACTTCTTCTATGTGGGTTAGAAACTTGTACCGCATGTCACGAAAATGATTTCCCATAGGTTATGAACTTTTATCAACATGTGACTTCGTTGGCTGCATAATGAAGATCAAATGACCGGCCTGACAGAAGGGATGAGCAACAAATTAACCAAGAACCTATTGCTCAGCTAAATATGCAGAACAAAATGGATACAGATAGGTCAAACTCTGAAGAGACTGTCGAATGACTTCGCGAGCTAGGCCATCACTTGAGTGCGACCCGAATGAGAAACGCCTAGTGGGGCATCCAAGGATGACATGGAGGAGGTAGTGAGAGAAGTAGATCAGTGACTATTGGCAACCATAGGGCCAGCTAAGCAGGGCCGTGGAGAATAGGACAAAGTGCGTACATTCTGTTGAAGCGCGGTGTTCCACTCGGAATCTGAGAGAACAGTAATAAACGATATTGAGGGGCAATTGGACGCACTGTTGTACTTCCGTTTCCATTTTTTGAGTTCCGAGTTGCACACTGAACTTCAAGCTGAAGTAATGTTTTCCTTTTACAATAAGGGGTTGTTAGACTCATGCAAGACCTCCTCTCTTTACTGGGCTTATTACTGGCTAAGCACGGTCAAGAAGTGCCCCGGCTGGGAATCGAACCCAGGTCGTGTGGTTGGTAAACATTCTACTGCTGAACTATATAAAAATAATTCCGCGCTGTATCAAAAGTACCAACCACAACACAACCATTACTATTGTTAGTAGGATTCTTTCTAAGGAAAACACCTAAGAAATGTAGTATCGATGGCAAAACAGCACTTATTATTATCACAAATCAGCTCAGTTCAAGCTAAAGTATTATTGAGCATAGCAATTAGTAGTTTATGTCTCTCTTTCTGAAAAAAAACACAAACAAAAGCTTCCATCAAATAGAAAAGACTAAATTTTCCAGATGGGAAAAAAATCCGTTGAATACAAACATATTTAGAAGTTGGATTCATCACAAGGCAATAAATAAACACAGGAGTTTAATTTGCATGAGAAGTTTGACTTTTGCTTCAAACATTTGTCACAAAACTAAAAGAGAGACACAGAGAGAGGGTGAGGGAAGAAAGAAATGCAAGGTGAAGAAAAATTAATTTGAACACGTGAAATATTTAAGAGGAAAAGAATTTCACTTTATTTTTTACTTCACTTTACTTTACTCATTTTTCTTCTCATTTTGCTACCTATCTACTGGTATTAATGAATTTGCTAAATAAAATTCTTTAAAAAAAATTACTGAAAGATTAATTTCTATTTATTTATTAATTTTTTTATTGGAAGCGTTACTTTTCTGCTTTTTGTTTGCCTTTTTAGCTTTTCAGAAAAAGACATTTTTAGAAATTTCATTGAATGTTAGTAGTTAGTCAACTTTCATGACTGTTGGCGCCTCTTAGTTTTGTCTTTCATTGAAAATGCTTTCAGCCAAGGAGAAAACAAGGATAGATTATAATTATTATTATTACTAGTATAGATTAGCATTCAATGAATGTCTGCTCTGTGTGCTAATATTCAATCAACAGAAAACTGGAAATACAAACAGCTCTATTGTTGCAATGCTTCATTTCATAGTGAAATATACCGACATTGTATAATATTTATTCTACTGTCTGACTAGCTAGTTTAATCGGTTATACGTCTATATATACACATATACATATGCGCCCTTTTTTCTTCATTCACTTGTGTTTTTTGTCTTTTTCAATTTGCCAATATTTATGAAACAAGCGATGAAGTGAACCACTGAGCAAGATAGAGGAACATTAATTTTGAAATAATAAATAAGATGTGTAGCTCAGGTGTGGATGATTTTTATGTGGTTGGATTTTCTGAGTTGGGTGGCGATTTAATATGAGGTGAACACATCTGAATTCGCCATGAATGATATATAATTGTATTTCTTGACAACCTTTGACTTATTATTATTATTCTTCCCTTGGGTTCTTAGTGGAACATAGGGCTTCAACTGCACGTCTCCACTTGCCACTTCTGTCTGTCTTCTGCTGTACTTTTCACTTGCATCCATGTTAGTCCATACTCTTTCAACTCCTCTTCACACGATCTCCTCCAAGTCACCCTCGCACTGACGACCCACTCACCGCTTCCCTTTCTGTCTGGCTTCACTCAAGCAATGGCCTGACGCGCGCTTGATGTCTTTCAGCGGCCTCCTCAGCGAGTGTCCAATCCACCCCCACTTTCTCCTGCGTGTTTTTCGGGTGATTGGTTCTTGTTTTGTTTGTTCGTTCCCATAGCTACTTGTTGGTGATTCTTTCCGGCCCCGCCATCTGACCTTCAGTATAGATCCAGCGAAGATAGTTGTTGATAAAGGTCTGCAACAGGCTGTTGGAAATATTCTTTGTGGCCCGCCCGCCAAGTTTCTGATCCGTATAGAAGAACTGACTGACTTGACGTTTGTATTGAAAATGTGACCGAATTTTGTTGTTGATGCTGAGTGACGAAGAATTCGAGATTGGTTTCAGGTTGATGAATGTGTTTCTCGCCTTCCCGATTCTCGCTCGATTTGACATCCTCGTCCATTCCGACTTCCTGTAGTTGAGACAATGCTCCCTAGATGGGTGAATGAAGTAACCTCTTTCAAATCCCTCCCGTTGATGGTGACTGACTTAAATGGTTTTTAATTTTTATCAGTATTGATTGAGCTTCTGTTATTTCCCTTCTTTGCAAAGAATGAGAATTGGTCAGACTTTCCTACCAACCAATTTTTATGCATCTGAATGCAATAACAATCTGTGTTAAAATTTGTCTTACTTATGGACTGAGTTTGTGTAATGTCATATGTGCTACTTATAGGTTGAAATAAGTAGTATATCAAGTAACGTCTTCGTTGAAACAATGATCATTTTTGTTGACCACAATGAATTTCAATGAACAAGATTGGTCGAGGTAGAAGTCATGTTCATTTGGTCAAAGACAGCCCATGTACATGAAGGAAATCATACACTACCGTCACATTTTGCGTATAGTAATATAAAAATATCTTCTTTCTTTGTTTCTTAATGAATTCTTCTCAGTGTAGTCACCTTCTTACTATGTTTCTTTTTGATTGACTATTGCAATGGGTCACAAAGTATCACTGCTTCACGGAAGACATAACTCAACGGGTGGAGATTTAACTGCAAAGCCGTCAGCGTCCTTCTAGACAATATCTCCAGCGGAAGCTTCAATATGAAGTGAACTTATCTAAGTTCTCCAGGAATGATATATAACTGTATCTCCTAACAAACTATGTTTTGATTAGTTGTTAATTTCCATCAGTATTGATCGTTTTTAACGACCTGGCATCTTCTCTATCATTATTCTTTATTAGTTGAAAAATTTAACCATGTGTCAGTTAACCGCAGATCCAACTAAGTATCAGATTTCAAAGAGTCCCTTGGCATTTTTGTTGTTTTCATTGTTTAAAATTTGTATATTTTCTCAGTCTACAAGCAATGACATGAAAGAATTCATTCATATTGTTACTTCCGATGGTTAATTTATTTTCTTGAACTGAGAGTCAATGGTGACATCTACTCTGGCCAAAACATTGCTTACCACACTTCATGCAATTTATTTTGTAGGCAGTGTTGATCTTGCATCCTTCTATCGTTAGGCCTTTCGGTCTACTCAGCAATAAGTGAAATGGTTGTGTTCGTCTGTCTACAATACATATTCTAAAAGGTATTAGTATTCTGATATTCTTGTTGGTAATCTGATTTGAACGTAGACATTTTCTGATGAAACTGTAGGTGAGGGTGGAAGAGGAGGGAAGTATCTTTTTTTTTCTTGAAGACAGCTAATCAGTGTCACTCTTCCATGTGGATGTTTTCAGTATTGCTACTTTTGTTTTTGTGTCCCATTAGCTTTTTAACTCTCCTTCTAGACAAAATCTTCAGCGGTAACTTCGAAAGGAAGTGAGTGGTAAGCATTGTTCACTAGTGAAATAACCATAGTGATTGTGTTCATGTTTTTGATTGAAAAAGATGAAGGGGATGAGAGATTTATATTATATAGAGTATTCACCACTGGAACAATCTCTCTTAGAGATAGTGCTGATTTTGTTTTCTTATACTGTTCAGTCTCTAGGTCTACATTATATTGAGGGAAATGACTATGTTGACTTTTAGACAACTTTATTCCAAATATGTAAAAAGATATGAAGCACACTTCTTCATATTAATACAATCTAAGTCACTGAGTGTCCTCAGGCAAGACGATTTATATCGCATGTATACACACTTGACTACTCGTTTACCTACAGAGTCTTCGAAATTTTCACCTTCTTTCATCTTAAACGCAGAACGATTCACACTCTTTTTTCATCGGATAGACTGAATAGTAGAAACCAGTGTAAGCGGTATCTAGCGAAGCAGTTCTATTCCCCATATTTCTCTCCAGCATGTGTTTATTGCAACTGCCCAAATGATGTACATATGTACAAGGAAGCGATAAAACAGTGACTAAGTCAATGATTTTACTTTGGTTGGACAGTACTTCCATGAAGTTAACGACTGAATCCTTGTAGTTCTTTCACGTCAATAATTGGAAACTAGATTTACGATACATTCCAACACTGTACTGCTCAGTACACTTGGTAAAATTTTTAAAAATTGAACATTCACTCTCAGCATGAAAAGTTAATTGAACTTACCCATTTGTCCGATTAAACCAGCTAAATGAGTCAATTTAGCCTGAAGTACAGAGTATTTCTTCTTTCGACGTTTACGACCTTTAGGAGCATCACCACCATTCTCATTAGCTTCTCCGTCTCCACCACCTAAACTGTTACGTTGATTTGAATTATCAAGGTTATGATTTTCAATATGGTCGCCTGTAGTGCAGTTTTTCCAGATCCTACTATGGAAAATAATAAATGAATAGATAAATAAATTGACTGGTAGGTTGTCAGGCTTAAAGATTCATATCAAAAACACTTTTGATTTCACATTATATATACATATGTGTATCGTTGCTTGAGTTGCATGTACGTCTCCCTCTAAAAAGTAACTCTTTCACACGCAGTCAGTGTACAGTTGCATGGTATAATTACATACCTATTAAGATGCTGTGCATCAGTGGTTAAGAGGTAAGATGCCTGCCAGCCACATGAGAGGTCCAGGTTCGACTCCCCACCAATGCACTGGCTCAGCCGGTAGTAACATCAGAAAAGAAGGAGGGTTGAGTGTGAAGCCATGGACCACACTTGGTATAAAAAACACAATATTACTGCTACTGAAATTTGAAAGCTCAGAGGATAAAGCTCATTGTTTCCCTTGGAGCATAAGGAATGAAAAAATTGAGGATACCATCTGGTTTAAGACGCTTCAAAACTGTACAGCCACTAATTACCTATCAGTCATAATGGGAAAGACAGGAGTAAGACGAATCTAGCTAATATCACCGATAATATTTCTGATTGTGGTGGACTAGATCATGCTGCAGGCAGTGGGATGCGAGGTACCTATCATCCAACAAGCATCAAGCAGGAAACAGAAATGAATTGAACATAGTCTAAGGACACTACTAAATGACGTTAAACCCAAGGCCGTCTAGTGAAAATCTAGTTGGTCGTGGGTCCGAGAGTGACATGGTGGTTATTGTCTTGGGAGAAAATCAAAGCTTATGAGGAGTCATGTAGTCCGCTAAAATAGTAGACTGTAGAAAGAAGAGCGAAATGGAGACCTGTTACTAAAGCCCACTGTTGCACTTGGAACTTAAATAATAATAATAAGTAGTAAGTATAAACATAGCGTCGGTGGCACAGAGGTAGAATGCCTTCCAACGATGCATGTGGTATGGGGTTCGATCCTCGGCAGACGCACTCCTTTATCTGGCTAAGCCAGTAATGAGACTAGCAAAGAGGGAAGGCTGGGCGTGAGGCTAGCAACCCTATCCCATAAAAATAAACGATACTGCTACCGAAACTTCAAGTTTCTTGCCTGGAGCCCTATTTTCCAGTGGGAACGTAAAGTAGTAAAATAATAATAGTAATAAAATAATTCATTGCGCTTTAACATGATTTTTGATGAATATTTAAATATTTAATAGTTTTCAAGATAAATTATGTTAATCACATTTTTAATTATTCTATTTGAATATATCATATTATTTTACGGACAAGATCAGTTAAAATTTTAGCATTTTATCTATTCAAGTTAATTTCTTTTTTTTCCTCTAACTGTCATATCTGTTACATCCTCCCTTTTCTATTTTTATCTTAAAGTCTTCTCATTCAATTGGATTTTATGTCATAAACACACAGTCATTAAGTACTTATATGTTCACCTTCATGCTGATCGATGTAATACTGTCTGGCATGGAAACTCAGCCTTAAAAATAATCCAAATATCCCCAATTTATTTGTCAGTTATTAATAGAATTTGTTTAATTCGCACCAGAAGACGTATATCACTTCACTTAGGTGAAGGTTTCACTTGATGGTTGCTAGCAGTGAAATATTAGGAGGCAAGTTGTTCCCTATTTGGGACTCGTCAGTTGTATGTACATACTTTGCAGTGAATGATGATGATATTTCCACTGAGGCATACGTGGATAACACTTTGAAGTTTCATATAGCTGGGTGTGGGTTTGAGTGGTATTTGAGATACTGTCGTCTTAATGAGATGCAAGTACATCATCCAATAGAAGCGTTACTCGATGTGCACTCTATTATTACTTACACATATATGTGATAGCTACTCATCACAACTTAGATTTTCTGAACAACTATCAAAAATTATATGATTAAGAGAAAGCGATTCTTTGAGCAGTGCAGTTATGAGACATCTAATTGACAGAAGACATTAAGTAGACTTCAAAATAATACAGAAACAAACGAGCTCAAAACTCTTAAAGTTCTAGGTGATAGTCGCTATCATATGTTAAAAACCGAACTTATGTATTCGAAAAGTAGCTGCAATAAGTCTTTCTCTACCTTAGTAACTTTCCATACATTTTGTTCCCTTGATAAATTTTGATAGAGAAAGAAAGACCAGATTTGCAGTATAAAATGATATCATTCTATTTCACAGGTTCTCATCAGCTGCAAACTACCTGAAATTACAATGGTTATAAATAATAACATTTCATACTTCATTGTTTGAAAGGTAATAGAGAAAACATTATAAGGTGAACGCATCTGGAATATAAGTATTATAATCTAAGTCAATCACCATCAATTTATATACTATCAAACTATGAAAGAAGAAAAAAAGGGGGGGTGAGAGAAGACAGAAAACAGAAAAATCTAATAAACAGTGTCAGCATAGCAACTCAAGAAGGTCAAGGTTCATCAATTTGAAAACTTGCTTAGTGAGCTGAGCTCACTAGTGTGTATGACTAATCAGTGTAATGAAAGTGATATGGTTACCAAGGGAGTGAGAGATTGACCACACTCTCTTTCTGTATGCATAAGTTTGGTCTGTGACGTTTGATTGCAATTGCTTCAGCAAATCGTAGTAGATTCGCTGTCCTTTGTATGTTTAATATTTTGAAGGATTTAGAAATCTCGACAAAATGACCTGTATCCACAAGGTGTCTGGTAATTGAACTTTGTAAATATCTGCTTCCTTTTAGGCATAAGTTTCTTGGAATATGCTCTGAAAACCGGATAGAAGCTCTTCTTTCTGTCCTTCCAATGTACTTGCTGCCGCAGGTACACGTAAATTTATAAATGCAGTTGGAGGTAACATCAGCAGGGTACTTATCCAGTTTCGATTGCCTTATGGAGCACGTAGTACTGTATAGTGTCACCAAACTGGCTGCAGGGAAGCATCTCTTTATTGCTCCCTTCATCCTCTTTTCAATCTTTTGCGATACGGTTTCTCCTTTGTATGGGAGGCAAATGAACACTTCCTTCTTTTCAACTGTTGGATATTTCTCTTTCTCATCTCTTTCTTTGCTGTACTTTAGGATAAATCCTTTTGGATACCCGTTTTCCTTAAGGCATTTTTCGACAAAGCTTAATTCTTCTTCTACTTTGTTAGGCGAACATAACTTTCTGGCCCTGTCGTAAAGTGTTCTCACTAATCCCCGCTTGTAGCTCATAGGGCAGAAGCTGTTATAATGAAGGTATTGTCCGGTCCAAGTTTCTTTCCTGTAGATGGACTTTTCGACCGTTCCATCGTTTTTTCTTTTTACATTTAGGTCCAGGAAATTAAACTCATCGTTGTGTTCGTATTCCATGGTGAATTTAATGTTTGGGTGGACCTCATTTAGGCGGTCAAATATTACGGATGCATGACTCATGTCGTTACAAACAACAAAAGTATCATCGACGTATCGGCGGTAGTATGTTGTTCCATTGATAGCGTCACTCAGTCTTGTCTGTTCGAGGTAGCCCATGAATATGTCTGCTAGAATGGGTCCTAGGGGTGAACCCATGGCGACCCCGTCAATTTGTCGGTAAAATTGGTTATTGAATCTAAATTGGATGTCTTTTGTGCAAAGAATTAGTAGCCGTTTCATCTCTGACTCCGGTAGCGGCAATAGATCTCTTTGCTTACAAATGATATCTATTGTTTCCATCACTGGTACATTTGTGAATAAGGCAGTCACGTCGTATGACACCATCAGTTTATCTGATATGTCAACGTGATCGACTTCTTTAGAAAATTGGAAGGTGTCATCCAAGCTATGACTTGAAAATTTTTGTCGAATTGGCTTCAATGAATCAGCTAGCCATCGGGCTAGTTTGTGGCATGGTGAGTTTATCATTGATAATATCGGCCTTAAGGGCACATTGGCCTTATGGATTTTTGGTAGACCGTACATAAATGGGAGTCGTCCACCCTTTGATTTGAGTTCATTGTACGTTTTGTTGTCAATCAGTTTCTTGATGAGTAGTTCTTTGAGGCATTTATTTACTTTATTTTCGAATGACGTTGTTGCATCCTTCTTGGTTTTGTCCACTTGGAATTTTCCGGAGTCGTTAAGAATTGTCAACATTTTATGTACGTAATCAGTTTTATTCATTATAACAATTCCAGAGCCTTTGTCGGGTCTAAACATGACGATATCATCATTTTCACATAGTCTCCTTAGTGCCGCTCTATGCTCCTCAGTAAGCATATTTTGTTTTCCGGACGGTGATGTGTTATATTGGTTGGCTATATCAACCAGTTTGGACTTTAGCCATCCTTTTCTTTTAACCTTAACTAGCTGTATCCTATTCTATTTACTGTAAACGTTGATTTCTTTTCACTCTTACTTGATTAGATCATCACCAATCAAACGTAGTGCTCTATGCATTTATTATATAACTAAATAAGCTTAACTCACGACATTTTTCTCATATTTTATCTGTTTTCAAACATCTACAGCCAATTAGTTACGCGATTTTAAAACTTCTGTGCCTTGATATCTTGTTATTATCCTTACTTCCTAAATATTTTGCTTTATTCAGGAAACTTTGATAGCATTACATAAGGGAGTACAGCAGTGAGGTCTGAGAGTTAGTTTGTAAGGATTCGATATTTTTTAAGTTTGATCACGAGTTATATTATTCGGTTAGAGGACTACAGAAAATCAAGGATCACTGAGAAGCTGTTTCGTAACAGTTTGGGACTCTTCGGTAGTACTCTCAGTAAGCTCGCAAACCTTGTAACCTGGATGTCTTGAACTCAAAGCATGACAGGTGAGTACTGATAAAAAGTCCCAAACTAGGGTGGAACAGTTATCCCATTTTCCCTGATTTTCCAGTGGTTATCTAACTGATATCAATCCATGGGAAACCTTAATCGGTTCCCTACAAATTAACCCTTAAAAATCAATCTGATGTTCACTAGTGACTGGCTATAGGATGAAGCTGTCTAGAGCTGTGGTGGAAAGTCATGACCACTGCGGTCCACCATGTT